ACAATTGACTATGGCAAACAGCTGTGAACCTTTTTCTTCGATGATGTTCAATTGTTCGTAACAATTCTAGACCCATTCTACTTCTTCTAAATCCACTTTCATTAAAACTCTTACAAAGAGAATTTTTACTTTGATTGGCAACACAGCCTCCATCCCATATATGAACGAAAATAGAGTTGCCCTAGTCGATGTGGGTACCAATGTTCGATAAGCATGTAACACAAAATATAACTTTTTATGCCAGTCTTTATAAGTATTAGTCATTTTTTCTATTATCATTTTAATGTTTTTATTAAGAGCTTTTATCGCCCCATTCATCTTTGGATGATATTGGGCCAAGTTATGATACTTCACTTAAACTGAGCATAAGCCTCTGCTAATATATTATTATTTAGATTATGAGCATTATCAGAGATGATCTTTTTTGAAAGGCTATAATGATATATTATATCATTTTTTATAAATCTACACACTACTGCCCTTGTCACATTGGCATAATAAGCTCATTTCACCTATTTTGTAAAGTAATCAATCACTACAAAGATAAATCAATGCCTTTTTTAAGCTTTTAGAGTGATGGTCCAATTACATTCATTCATTATATGAAAAACAATCATATAGGTGATAAAACATGTAAAGGGATTAGAGGAACGTGAATTTTATCTGTATAAATCTGGCATTTATGACATTTTTGGGCATAATTGTGTAGTCACTCTCCATTATTAACCAACAATAACCTACTATTGAGATTTCTCTAACCATTATGTGGCCCTTTGCATGTACTCTACAACTTTTTTCATGCACTTCTTCAAGTATTTTCTTTGCTTCAGTAGAGTTCATGCATCTTAATAACATTTGATCTTGACTTTTCTTGTATAAAATTACTTCATCGAGAAAAAATTCTATAACCAATCTTCTGATATTTATTTTTCATTTTCTGACATGTGTTCTGGGTATTGTTGATGCTTGACATATTGCATGATATCGTAATATCGGGCAGGCCATCAATTTTTTTTTCAACACTTGAGCAATACGCCGGTGATCTTTGCACATTCATCCGGATACATGCTAGAATTGGACATTCTTGAATTGTTTTATCAAATCTATCACATTTTTGGTATCGTACCAACTTTGAATATCTTATTTCCCATTCACCTCATAGTTTTATAGATTACCAAGGCTGAATCCCCATATGCTTCTAACACTTCAATCTTCTTCTTAATTACAATTTGCAACAAAATTGTTCAAAATACAAGGGATCGATCCCTTTTTCAAGGGGATCAATTGATTTTTTGGCCAAAAAGGTGTCTCGTGGACTTTTCATGAAAACCAATCGATCCCTTACTTGTATGGGTCGATTGGTATAAGTTTTCAAAGATAAGATCGATCTTTTCCTTATAGGGATCGATTGATTTTTTAATCAAAATGAAAAATTAGTTTCAAAACATGAAAAGGGATCGATCACCCAGATTAAAGGATCGATAACCCAAAAAAGAGATTGATTGGTGGCATTTATAGATCAATTGGGTATGTCTTTTCATGCATGAATTAGCTTGTATTTTTAACTAAAACAATCGATCCCCTATATGAGGGGATCGATCCCTTTATGCCCAAAAAGCATACAACAGCTATTTTTGTTTGAAATTTTGTAGAGCTTTTAAACAATTAATGCAAGCAATGGCTATCTTCCACTTTCAATATATAAATAGAGATCTTTCACCACATTTCAAGCCATCAAAAGCCAAAAACACTTATTACTTTCATCTACCATCTTCTCTAAGCATTAAAGAGCATTTTGTTGTGTGAAAACTATAAAAATTTCTTCGTGTATTTGTTTCTCTCTTGATATTCTTCTTAATTCTGATTTGTACTTTAAATTAGCAAACACTTCAACCATAGAAAAGTCCTTTAAATTTGCAAAACACTTTAAAACTTGTTTTGTGAGGTTGTAAGTTTAAGAGGGAGGATAACCCTTAAGAGATTATGTTATTGATTGTATAGAGTTTTGAAGAGTTAGGTTGTAACATTCAACATATAATGGATTGGACTTATTGGCAAGTGAGGTTAAAGGAGAGGACGTAAGTGCCTCAAGGAAAAACTGAACCTCTATAAATTTTAGTGTTTGATTCTCTATCTCCATCTCTTTGCTTTTAAGATTATTAGTATATTCATATTTATTATGTTTATTTTTTTAGAAAAATTGATTTATGAAATTTGTGCTTATTGGATATTAAATTTGAAAATTTTATAATCAACCAATTCACCCCCTCTTAGTTTAATTCAAGTCTTTGAGCTAACAAAAACCCTAAAACTAAACCTTAAACTTTAGACCCTAAACCTAAACACTAAAACCCAAACCCAAACCCTAACCCTAAAGCTAAAACCTTAACTTAGACCCTAAACTAACCCCAAGCCCTAAATAAACCCTCAAACCCTAAAACCAACTTGATCTCATTTATGAGTTTGCTTTTCATTTTATTTTTTGTCACATGCATTCTTTAATTGTCATGCATTCATATTTTATTATTCATGTTTAATTGTCATGGTTTCATCATATATTACAATGTTAATGCATTCTATGCATATGTTTCAAATGAAGTTTTTTTTAAGAAAAAAATATTTTTAAATAAGATGATATCTCAAATAAATATAGCCTTTGAGATCTGACCTAAATATAGGGGGACTTTCAACGGCTATCATTTATACGATATGTCATCTTGGTTTTCAAAAGACAATTTAAAAATTTCTAAGTAAAAGATATTTTTGAAACTTTACCTAAATATAGGAGAATGGAAGAAGTGTCTTGATACTTAGGACTTTTTCATCTTGATCAAAAAATTAATTGTTTTACTTTTCAAAATAAATAAAAAATGATTTGCTTTAAAAAAAAAATTTTTGATTTATTGGAATAAACAAAGGAATTAATTTCTAAACATTAAAAATAGGACACATTTTTACTAAAGTCTAAGAATAACAAGCAATTAATTGATACTGTATTCGATGGGCACTGTAAGAGTACTAATCTTCCCCACATATAATCGACTCTAAGATCCAACTCTAATTTTTGCAGACTACAAAATGTTCTTTTAATAAACCTTAAACTCATTTTAAATGTTTTATTAAAAAAATAAAATTTTTGGGTGGTCAATTACACCATAAAAAAAATTGGTAGCTACTTTTTTTTTTTATTATTAAAATGCTTTCTAACCCTGTTTTTTCTATTTCCTAAGTCCGACGATCGGATTCCTGAACCCATACATCACGACATTTATTACCAAAATATTTATTTTCTAAAGTATTTTAAGTCTTTTATAAAGTATAAAAATTTGAAATCATGTAATTTGCATTTGTGTTGAATAAATGATATTTAGAAACATAAAAATAAACTTTAGAATGAAATTAGCAAGAGCAGTTGAATGCTGTTTGGGTGGTAGTCAAATGTCCTTTCTATGCACATTTTGTTTGAAATTTTGATTAAGGTAATCAAATGCCCCAACGAGAATAGTCGAATGCCCTGCAAGATTTCACATTTTGTGAGAAATTTTCATATAGTAGTCAAATGTCATGACTCACGTATTCAAATTTCATTGTAAAAAATTCAAAAAAATTTATTCGTTGGACATAATGTTTCATTCTAAACTTAATGATTTTTCACCTAAGAGATGTCTATTTGTGAAAAATAAAAATATCAAAAATCAATTAAGACTTATAAATATTTTTATTAAAGTTCATTTAATATAACTTTACATGACTTTACATTCAATATTAAAAAAATTATTTCATTCTCTCACTTTTTTTTTGTTCATAATTCAAGTGTATTCAAAAAATTTTTGAAGTGCAATATTGAATTTCATCGCTTTAGATATTATATCTTGAAAATATCGATTCTAAAACTTCATTTGAACCAATAATGAAATAACTATTATTCTTTAAAAAATTTTCTTAAAACTATCATGCCAAAAAATTTTTTATATTATGACTCTTTTTGTTTTGTGAAAAATAATTTTCTTATTTTCAGGTGTTTATTTGATAAAAAATTGATTAGTCAACAAAAAATGATTTACTGATGAACAAAAAATATCATTTTTCAAAAAATTATCTTATGAATTTGAAAAAAAAAAGATATTTTTTAAAAAAAAATTGTCTATGAGTAGAATTATTTATTAATACTTTTAAACATAATTTTACTAATATATAATATTATAACATATTAATAAATAATATAAAGAATAATAAATGATTTTATTTTAAGTATTTTTTATATTAACATAATCTTTTAATATTAAATATTATTATTTTTTAATATTAATAATTTTTAATATTTTAATAATTATATTAATATTATTTGGAAAAAAATTTTCCAAAAAATAATTAAATAATAAAAAATACTTTTCATTAATTTATCTAAATAATAAAAAATCTGTTTCAATTAAAAAATATATAAATATTTTTCAAAAATTACTTTTAAAAATTACTTTTTGCGAAATATACAAAGCCGTAATTTTGAAATGTACCATTTTTCTAAGTCATTTGTCAACTCAAAATTATTTAGCAGAATCAACATCCTTTTCCTGTCTTAATTTTGAAATGTATCTTTGTATAGTTGTCTGATCAAATTTGTCCATCCCAAATGTTAACATCTGCAATAAAATCCAAAAACAATGACCTTTAGCAGCAACTTAAGTGACCCACTTCCCAGCTATATGGAGAGAGAGAGAGAGAAGAATGAAAGTTAGAGAGATGAGAGTAAGGTCCCGCTTAGTTGAATTGGTGCCATTTGCTGCAATGGTGGCTATGGAGTGCCTGGATGTTGGCTTAACTACCCTCAGCAAAGCTGCCATGTCCAAAGGAATGAGCCACTTTGTCTTTGTTGTCTACACATGCTTTGGCTTCTATCATTCTTCTTCTCCATCTTTTCTCTTCACAACGTTCTTCACTATCTATCAACTAGATTCATGTTATTGGTAATCATTGAGCACTTAATAGTATTTATTTCTGTTTTGGGACTTTCTTTTTGTGTTTTTTTTTTTTTCATTTTATGCAGGAAAAAGAGGCCGCCAATTACTTTATCTTTGCTGTGCAAGTTCTTCCTCCTAAGCATTGCTGGGTACGCATTTAAATCTAACAGAGTTCTGTTTTCTTGATCTTTAGAAGTTGGTTTGATTCGTTTTCTCGTGAAAGAATTGGGTTAGGAATCTGAGTTTTGTAGGATTACTTTGATCCAGAACTACGTATTCACTGGTGTAAGCTACAGCTCTCCGACCCTTGCTTCTGCTCTCGGCAACTTAATCCCAGCTTTCACTTTCTTGCTTGCTGTCATCTTCAGGTTCTTCTCTTTTCCTCCCATTGAACAGTTGTTTTTTTTTTTTTTGGATTTGAAGCATCCAATAATTTATAGAAACTACAGGCAAAGTTTTAGGTTTGATCTCTGCTATATATCAGTTATTTTTTGAACTTTCTAGGATGGAAAAGCTAGAGTTGAAAGCTCAAAGAGTCAGATCAAAATCTTGGGCACCTTGGTTTCCGTTTCTGGAGCACTGTTTATAACCTTTTACAAGGGTCCTCTGGTACTTTCCCCACCTGCTCAACCGTATTCACAACCATCTTCGTCTACCATCTTAACAACTCCAAACAATTGGATCATAGGTGGCCTCTTCATTGCTACTGCCTGTTTGTCTCTTTTAACAAACATCATTGGTCAGGTAACTAATATACTATTCTTGATCCAGTAGCTTTGGTTACTTCCATCTTTGTGAGAGACTGAGGGTTGAACTGATGTCTTTTTCCTACTATATTTGAAGGCCGTAATTCTAAAGGGGTATCCCTCAGCGATAACGTTAGTTTCCTTCTATTGCCTCTTTGGGACCATTCAATGCGGATTGGTTGCTTTGATAGCTGAAAGAAACCCAAATGCTTGGAAATTGAGTCCTGATATCGAACTCATCTCTGTGGTCTACCCAGTAAGTAAACTGCATACAAGAAAAAACTTTTTGACTGGCAATTCACGTATTAGCTCTTCCTACTTCGCAAAGCGAAGCTTTGTAACTGTGACCAATTTCTTTTCAGGCTCTGTTTGGAAGTGTGGTAACATTTAGCATGATAGCATGGTGCATACGATGGAAAGGGCCAGTCTTTGTGGCCATGTTCAAGCCCTTAAGTATTGCTATTGCTGCCTTCTTGGGGTTCATTTTCCTTGGAGAAACTCTTTATGTTGGAAGGTAACAATCTGCTTATATCATGTTTAATTTGCTAGTTATTGCAAACTAAGTAGTAAACTAGTTGTTCATTTAATTAGTAAACTAAGTAGTAAAGCTGACCTATATTCAATCTCAGATTATTTATTAACGGAGCTTGGGGATGACAACTTTGCTCAAACTTGTTCATTTAATTAGTAAGTGAACATAAAGTAGTTTAAAACAAGATGTTCAACAGGTCTATTGGTTTGCTTACCCTTGTGTTAGCAACGAGATAAATGGAAAAAAAAAAAAAAACACAAACTATTTAAAGCCAAAATGTTAGTTTGATCATTATAAAGTGATGTATTAAAACCAGAAAATAACCATGTTTCGCCAATCACACATGACTAAGCTACAAATAGAGAATCGGTTGCCTTCATAAGGGGATACTATAAACAAGTAGTTCATAACCCAAGTTATTTTAATTGGTACTCAAGACTCAAAGAGTCCATTTGACATATATGTCAAGCAAATCGGCATGATTTTTATGAAGCTATGTCTTGGCTTCAGTAACCTTTTTTTTTTTTAATGGATCAATGATCTGTAATCAATTTTATAAGATTTTTGATGCAGTAAATTCACTATTGCAGCAACTGCAGAGTATATAACTCATGTCATTGCTTACTAAGATAGAACAAAAAGATTGATCATAGATTAGAAGTAAAAGAATAGCCCTAAGGAGAGAAGTTTAAAAACTCATACTTGTATCATATCACAAGTTTTTAAGAAGGTAAACTATGCCTACTTCTTCATGAAGTACTTCCTTATTTAGGGAAGGAAAAACAAACAAAATGATTACTTAGCATTGTAGTGTCACATGTGCGTAGTAGCTTGTGACACGATAAACAAACAAGTGATGCTTTTGAGGCACTTTTCCAGAAGTAAAATAAAGCAAATTTGACATGACAAGATTAATACCCAAGTGTAGGTCAATATTTTGCTTTCTCATTGGTCGAGACAAAGTAATAAGATTATACGTTTATTGAGAAGCACACATGACGAAAAGCATAAATTAATTGCTAGATGGTTATACATATCTTAGTCTATTCTGGATCAAGGTTTATTTATTGAAATGTGACTAGTAGAGAGATTTAGGTGGGAATTGCTTGCGTTTGGATCAAAATCATATATAAGGCTTTCTAACCATTGATCTAGATCAAAATATAGGTCATCTATGTTAAATGGGTCTTAGGAGTCTAGCCAAGGATTTGAAGGATGTTCTTCATATAGGGAAACTATGGAAAGAATGAGGATGTGAGGAATGGGTGGTTTTGGTATTTTACTCATAAGTTTCTAACAATTGAATCCACATGTGAAAAGGTTGAAACCATTAGAAAAAGTTTTTCAGGTTTTCATGACTTGGGTCTAGAGGTGCACCTGTAAATAAATGGTTCCACGATTCAATTATGCAAGAAATTTAAGAGGCTATGCAATGGAAATTCAATTGTAACATAGTAGAGGTGACATAGGTACCATAAGAAACAAATATTTGACATAGGTACCATAAGATACAAATATTTTCTTTTGGGAAATTAAGGGGTGCTGCAATGGTAAAGGGATGAATAAAAAGGTACCCTTGGGCTGGATGGAGGTGTTACCAAACCTTGGAGTATCGATGTCTAGTACGTAGGAGATGTGTAGATCTTGCATCAACTTTTTTTTTTTTTTTTCAATAAGTTGTTGTAACTCGGGAAAGTTTGCCAATGGGAAAGTTAAGATCATCATGGAAATCAAATGAGCTTGTAGGAGCAATGTTTTTGAAGGAGGAAGGTTTAGAAGAGGATGAAGAAGAGGAAAGATTCATTATAGCAATGACAGGGAGGATTTTCGAAGGATTTGTAGTGCTAGGCCGGGATAACAAGTGTGGAATGACATTATCCCTTCCTTTTATATGCTTGATTGTGAAGGAGTATTTAGAGAACCATTTTGACCAACGTAATAACTGTCCATTCGGGACTGCTTTCTTTGTGAAATTTCATCATCTGGTCAAAGGCTAACTTATAGATTTGAAGCAGGAAGTGATGGCCAAAGAAATGAAATTCCAACTTTTGAATTTCATACTTAACTGCCAGTATTTCTTTGAAAGTGGATTGATAATGAATTTCTAAATATTTGAACTTACCACTTTTGTATACACAAATTCATCATTTTTCATCTTTATCTTCAAGGAGTATTGCTGACCAAGAAGCTATCTTTTACGTTAGTCCGTAAGATTCTTTTTCCATGTAGTTGATAGTCTAAGAAACTGTAGGATGTGTTTTTTTTTTTTTTTGAAATATTTTCATTAGGGAAATCTTCTAAAGCTCAAGCAGTGTAGGGCTCCTGTAATGTACTGCCCATTCTTGAGTTACATTTTAAGAAAATTAATTTTGCTGACTCCAATTGTCATCTTTTCTGACATGTTTCCAAATTGTTAGACAATAGATTGAAACTTATCAACCAACTGAGAGTGAGCTATATGATCAGGTGATAAGAGAAGAATATCATCAATGTAATCCAAGGCATGATCAATCCCTCCTCTTCATCTTCCTCTAAATATTCCTTCTCTAAAAACCAGACTCCAGCCAACACATCTGATTTCCCTGATGATCTTAACTTTCCCGTTAACAGACTTACCCTTAGTTACAGCAGCTTATTACAACAAAAATCCCTGATGTGAGAGCCAAGTACCTAATGTTCAGATACCAATCAATTCTCATCCAAAGTTATTCTGATCATGGTTTCCAACTTATTGGAATCCACCCCCAATATCCATTTCTCCACTTGTTTTTCAGTTTGCCTATTATGGTGTTAATGCCTAAAGAAACCATCCCATTTTTATGGTATTTTTGCCAAATTTACATCATTCCCATATAATTCAAGGTAAAAGATCTTCTCATTGATCTTGCATATCTTGAAACACTGACACCACCTCTGCATATTATCTAAAAACCTTTTTTGAGAGATTCAAACCGCTAAAAACATTTCTTTTTTCCCTTCAGCATCTCCCAATACATAACTATGTCATCTTTCTTTTTCATCGACCTTGTAGATATAATGATGATCATACTATAAGTTATGTATATATGACTTAAAACCCTACTCTTTGTATAAAGGACTCTTTGCATATTCCTCAGAATATAGACTCTTAGATTTTTGCAAAATACTCAAATTTTAACAGAACTACCCTCTACATGAAATAACCAAGATGTTGGTATGCTCCTGAATATATTAAGCAATTACATCACAGTCTCAGAATCTATATACCAAACAAACCTTGGATATCAAGCATAATTGATTGGAAGATAGACTTGTCAACTTTGATCTTCAGGACTTCGTTGAATTATGTGAATTACCAGTCAACCCCTTGCTGGCAAGACTCGGAAGACAAAACAAGGATAGCTGAAGTACTCAACAACCCAAAATATCTCAAATGGCTAAATCTTACAATAGATTCTTCATCAGAAGACTTTGACATTGACCAGTGGATTGGACAATTTCTGTCAGCATCGTTTGAACTCGCATATGAATCTTTCTCCTAGCCACGATCCAATACATAAATCCTAATCCAAAATAGTCCAAGACTTGTACAATCTTATTAAATTAAAGCGTATTTGGTAACGTGTGCTTCTCAATAAACGTATAATTTTATCAATTTGTTTGAACAAATGTGAAAACAGAACAATATCCTATACTCATATGATGTTATAGTGCCATGTTATCATTTCATTTGTTTTTCTCTTTGTACATGGAACTACTCTCTAAAGTAGACAAAGTTCACCATTGTAAAAATATAATATCAAATATGAATTTCTAAACTTCTTTTTTTTCTTTTCTTCTATTATTGTCCTTCCAATCAATTAGTTGATCAATTTTCTTATTTTATCTTAATAAGTAACAACATGAATCATATGTTTTGTAATAACCACAGTAGTAAATCGTTTGTATCATAAATTTTTTATAAAATTGATTACGATCCATTGATCCACAGAAAGAAAAGTTATTGTATCAAAGCTGCTGTAACAAAAACATGGTTCTATAAAAGTCAAACTAATTTACTTTATGTTTATGCCAAAAAGATGCTTCGAGTCTTGAGCACTGACCAAAATATCTTAATTCATACTTGAATAAATCCCTTTGACATTTTACTGGAATTATGAACTTGTTTATAGTATCCTGCTAAGGCAACCAATTTTCTGTTTGGTATCAGCATTGAATGCGTGCTAGCAGCAAAACATACTCATGACTAAAGGAGAAACAGAAATTCTAATTAAATCTACTACATACAGGAATTTGAGTGCATACTGAAGCTGCAAATTGACAAAGAGGTAAAAATTCTTTGAACTCGAGTCTGGAAGTGAAGCTTGGTAAGAGTGTTAAAACTGCTGAAATGCATCTAAGAAGAGAAGCTGCCGTACTTTTCCTTCATCCATACTCTAGTTATTGATGTTTTTTGACTCCAAAGGATGCTTTATTGCTGCTATTACTCAACTTCTACCAAAAGCCGCCCTTGAGAAAGTATATATTGATTTAATACTCCATTGGAGCAGCCATAATTGTTACGGGCTTTTACGGGGTGATATGGGCATGGTCCAAAGAAGACAAGGATGAATCCGCCAACACATCAACCACCCTTCTCTTACATGGACATTTAGATGCACAAATGATTGTCTCCTCCCACCCCCCCACCCCTTGTTTTCTTTTCTTGTAGAGAAGGGTCGAGAATTCATATTAGTTATCAGAAACCGAGCTGATCTATATACATATGTGAATTCTCTGTATTCACGCCAAAGGAGAAATTGCTGTTATAGTTATTATTATTGACATTAACCCTCTTTCCCACCAAAATTTCAGTACAAACATGACTAATGACCTTTGTACAATGATATATTTTCAATTTAATAAGGTCATTGTAATAAAGTAAAAAGAGAATATATCTTTAAAACTAAGCTTTCCTTGAACCTGGAGTTTGAAACGTGACGATCAACAGGTTTTAAATTCAAATTTTAATACATACAATTCTTTTTCTTATCTTTAGATTATGACTTTCTTTGTACCAAAAACAAAACTAGGCTTTCGTTTCTCAAAAACTGTAGTAGCAATCAAAAGAAACAAGTGCTTCATATATCTCTACAAAATTTATAAAAGAAAATAAATGTTTGACAATCACAGCCGGATGGGCAAACTCATTCATAGCGAAGTGCAAAAACGCTTTTAATACCCATAAAATGGGGCATCATTGTTCCATGTAGAATGATATCCAACAACCGACAAGCTCCCTTCCACGAAATATGGCCTTTCTTCCTTGATGTTGCTGAAGACAAAAAACAAAAAAATCCTTCTAGAAAAGCTGCAACAAATCAATTAACTAGGTCCCTTGATTTCATGCCTTCAGATCTTCAGACATAGCTGATGGTATGCAGTGCGTAGCAAGAATGTTTGGACTAGCTGCTTTCGCTGTCTTTGTCCTAAGTACTACTATCTGCATAAAAGCACACACATAAATGTAGTAGTGCAACAATAGCATGTGCTGGAGTGTACATTCATGTAGAGAGAGAGAAGGAACCTGTTCATATTCTAAATCAAATTTCAAAAATTCATCATCACAGTTCTCTACCATCTCAGCCAAGCTCTTCAAATTCTTCACAGGCTTACCATTAAAAGCAAGGACCTGTGTAAGTACAAAAGATACAAGGTATTCATAATTGACAGAAGAAATTTAACTCCTGAAATCAAACGCAGTTGCAACTGACTGATGACCCTAACCTGGGTGTTAACAATGTCCTCATATCCGATATTGATATCAGCCACAAGTACCTTAACAAATTTTTAAGAACTTATGTTAGAAGAACAGATTAGCAGAATAAGCCAACCATAATAAGTAGGCATAATGCATGTGCATGCAAACATGCATGCAGAGAAGCCACAGAGAGAGAGAACCTGAGACACCACAACAAGCTGCTCATCAGGTGATTGCGGCATTGAATGCAAGAGTTTGTCCAAAAGCTTTACTGGAGCTTCATATTCATAATCCTTCCCATACTAGACACATTGCAAATACAGCTGAGATTATTAGGAAACACAGCCACAAACTGCTAATTCTGTTGCTAACTTTCGAAAAATCAAACTCACTATTATCAAGTAATTGATGAGATCATGCTATACAAAGAAAAGATTAGCAAGGAACATAAAACTTTGCTTGAAGTAATAACATATCATTCTTCTTCTGATCCATCTATTGCATAATTTAAAAGTAAATGTCTAAGGATGCATACAACAGGAACACTAATGCAGTCAGAATGTGGCAAAAGAAAATGGTAAACCATTAGATAAATTCCTATTCCAGTTCCTAAAGAATATGAAAAAGGATGATGCGGCATTTAACTCAAAAAATCAACTCATCCAATTGAAAACATTCTCCATCCCTAGGCATTGTAGTATTGAGCATTTATTAAACAGTGCAGACTAATTTAACTTCAATAGAAACAATAATTTAGGAAATTCTTTGGCAACCAGCTAGACACCACAGAATTTGAGGATGATTGGAAAATGTGAAGTTGTCCCAGAACCCCAACATGAGGTAAAATCCATTTTAGAGTATGTCCTAAAACCCCAACATTAAGAAGGGTATAGAAATGTTTAGTTAGGCTATTACAAACTACATAAACAATAAAATTACAGGTTTTAAGAGAATATTCAACCATCTAAGAAAGTAAACTAGTAGAACCAAGTTTTCTTAGCTGACTGAGGCAGCTGGAACTGTGTAGTGCACTTCGCATGCAAAATCCACCAGAAACATGCTTAGTCAAACCTGAACACATTTTGATGACCTATGACACTAAAACAGAACATGTACAATCATACAAGCTATATATAGTGCAATACTAAAAATAACAATAAATTAATATTATCTGCTTTTTGAGCATGCACCGAGGATCAATCTTCCACTTGACAGCATCTAAGCTAGCAAAACATATCTTTAACAGGCTTTATACTTTATTACAGTAACAGAGGAGGCACTAGATTTTGAAGTAAAAAACATACCTCAGAACGCAAATATGGAACAGACACAGTTGCAAACACAAATCCTGCAATTATATAATATGAAGGAGGTCTGCCTTTGTTGTGTGATGGAATAAGCCTTCTGTGTGATGCAAGCTTAATGTTGAAATTTAGAATCTCGGATTCACGAAGAACTTTAATTGCTGAACTATCCCCAGTATATTTTTGTGAGACAAGGTAACTAAAGCCTATGCGTTCTCCATGCCGAAAAGGAACTGAGAAAAATCAATAATGGACAAAAGTGCAACATCAGAAAAAATGTGCAGAAGAGATTGAACAGATGAGAAAAAGAGAACACTTTAACTTGCCAGTTTTCCTTATAAAGTACTTGATAGGGATTTTAGGCTATTGTTCAAGTTAAGTTAAGAATGATGTACAAGTTTCATTTCTGACACAACTAACAACTAACAACTGCCATAAGGACATCTAGTGAAGTTGATAGTTGTGGAGATAGGAGCTCTTAATCATAAATTAATAATCAGTTAATCCAGGAATTCATCTGTAAAGGATTAACTAAAAGCCTCAGAAAAAGTTCTCCATTCAACGCAACCCTTACCCTATTTTGGTTCAAATTGTTAACTTATAAATGCATAGAGCTCAAGAAACATACATTTTATAGCAATGATAAACTTACTATAAAGTAATTTTCAGGGAAAACACACAAACTTGTCTAGTTCAAAGTAATAATAAAATTTCTCTTATGATAACAACAATTAGCTCTTATAACAAACAATGTAAGAAGCTTGTGCATAAAATTTTCAATCGGCAAAAACATGGCAGATACAGTACAAGTCTGTGTGCGTGTGTATTATGTATCAATGTATAGATAAATAACACCTTACCTGTTCCATCATTGGCAATATCAACCCCATCAAAGCTGAGCATAATATCCGATGACTTCAAAACACCAGATTCCGGAGCAGTGGGATCAACTCTTCTGATTCGGACACCTTTCTGATCAGCTTTCATGCCGGTTGCTGCACGTAAATCAGGATTTTCCATTTTCTGCCACTCAACCCCCAAAATTGGGAATCCTATCATAAAAATAGAGATCATTAGACCTTAAGCATGATGATAAATGCAGCAGATAGCACTTTCATCACACAATCATAAATTTAACAGTATGTTGATAAAAAGTATTATTTAAAAGACCCAAACTAATTTACCAGTATATGCTTCATTCTTTTCATAGTCTTGGATGAAGTGCTGGATAACTGGTGTAGGTATCACATACCCTATGTTTTCTACATCTTCATGTTTGAGCGACTGAAATGCTATGCCCACACAATTGCCTTTATCATTGAAGGCAGGCCCACCAGAATTTCCAGAATTTATAGCAGCATCTATCTGCAAAAGAATCGAGAAGAATGGATAACAGGTGAAAACTTTTAAAAGGGTTAGCTATTGCAGACAAAAGAAATGCTAGAAAAGTAATCATGTAAACCTGCAAACCCAGAAGCTCTGTGGACCCGTGAACATAAGACAGGATTTCTATTCGTGATACAACTCCACTTGTCACAGAAATTGTATCTCCCCCAATTGGGTAACCAACAACAGTCACAGCATCTTGAAGTGCGGGCAATTCTCCAAATTCCAGTGGTGACACACCTTCCCAGAACTCATCATCATTGACCGTAAGCATTGCTACAACACCATATAAACTAAATCATCCATTTGACCAAATAAAGAAAGCAGTTATCTGAAGCCACACAGATATCACATCCAGATGCTCAATTATTTTTACATCACACTGACGAATGTCCAAGCAGCTCTCTCTTGAACATCAGTTCACACTATGAATGAGTTGAATTTGCCCCTCCTATTATCTTACTGTATAAGAGTTTTTCATCTATCCTCTCTCTCCTTAACCATGCATCACCTCCACAGAAATTTACATTCAGCTCTCATTAACCATGTCAGTTTTCTACATTTGTACCTTGCATATGATTCCCAAACAGAACACTCGCATATTAGAAACAATAAACACTATCTCTCAAAAAAGTAACTTAATTCGCATTTCCATCTCACCATTACTAAAATAACTTTGTAACAAATAACCAAGGAGGGAAGAAAGATTGAAACATAGGGCAATCATCTCCTCAGTTCTCACACCCAAGAAGCTTAATTAACAATACATGCTTAGCAGCTATGGGCCAAAGAAACCTTTGCCACCCCTCTCCATTTCAGGTAATTAGCAAATTTCTTGCCATAGAATACATGACAACGTTATCTTCATTCTATCATGATAAAAAAAAAATTACAAATGTAATGAAATGGTACTAGTTAGCAACAATTAGAATCACTGCACTATGATATATTGTTCTTCATTCACATATGATTAGTGTGAATATTTCAATTTCCTTATTCCCTGGCATTATAACATGTTGAACCAAAACATTGATAGTTTTTATATGCATTAAGAAAAACATTGAATTATTAGAATTTATCAAAAATTTAGTTTATTTGAGAAGTTAACATACCAATATCACATTCGGTTCCAATAGCAAGGACAATAGCCAAGTACTTAGTATCAGACCCACGTTTCTTAACTTTAACCTGAGTGTAATGTTCCACGGAATGCGCATTTGTTAAAACCCTTCTCCCTCCAATCACGAACCCACTACTACTCGAACTATACTGCCTTTTCCTCTGCCAAGGCAACGAGAAATTTGGCTCCGTGTGAACGCAAAACACCTTTACTACTGCATCCATTGCTGGCACCACCCGATCCCCATCCGAATCTCCACCCAACTCCCCTCCTCCTCCTCCTCCTCCTCCTCCAACTCCGATCGCATTGCCGTTAGGAATACGGCGGCTAGGAGAAAGGATTGCAGGCGGCGGTTGGGGGGGTAGAGGCACGGGGTTTTCGGAGAGTTTTGGGAGCTTTTTGGGGCGACCACGTGGGCGGGCAGCGGTGGTGGTAGCCGCGGCAGAGGAGGTGGTAGTGGTGGTAGAGGGGATGATTTCGACGTTAGTGACGGAGAAGACGTCGTCCAATGCGGTGGTGGAGCATGGGGATTCTAGGGTTTCAGTGGGGATTGGGTTGTGAGCTTTTCGGCCTCTTTTTCTTTTGGTATCTCCCATATACGAAATTAAAAATAAGCTGTGTTTGGGTGGGTGCTTTAAAGGATCAAGAAAGGAAATGTTGGAGAGAGAGAGATGTAAAAAGAATATAGCAAGAGGAGCCTTTTTTTCTAGTATTTATTTGATCAGGGAGGGCGGAGGGAAGAGAAAAACGAAAACAAAAGCTAATTTTATTCACTCAATTTTTTATTCTTCATATTTTTTAAAATTATTTTTAAATAAAATTATATAATTACCTTCTTTTTTCTTTAATTCCACTTCCGCCTTTGAACTTTCGATTAAATCCAAAACTTTCAAAAATTTTTGAATTTGTATTATTAAAATTTTAAAAATTTTATAAAATTTTTTTTTCAACTGATCTGTATCATTGGTCCATTAATAAGAGTTTGAGTTTTAAATTGGATTTAATTTGGGTTTTTAACTCATAAGCGTCAAGTCATTCTCTTTATTTTTCATTTATTTTATTTGCCTTTTTTTATTTATTTACTTCTTTTGTTTAAAAAAATTTTAAAAAAATCAAAAATTTAATTTTTCTTGGTATAGGATTGTTGCTAGGATAAAATTTCTCTTCAAAACGGTAAGCAAGACAACTATGATGAAATCCTTTTGGACCTAGACTTCTAATGGAATTGAGACTATTTGTTGATTTAAGTTATATTTAAATACAAAAATTAATTTTTTTCACTACAAGTTTTAGATTCAATCAACAAACGCACAATTGATTTTTTTTTTTTTTACCTTTTTATCCTTTTAATTTGATTTATTCACTTTTTTATTTTTATTTTTTTAAAAAATTATAAAATAATTTTAATTTAATATAATAAAATACTATTTAATATATTATTGTTATTTTTTATTATTTATTTTATTAACAAAATTATTATTTATCATAAAAAAAGTTTTTAAATTTTTTATTATTTATTAATTTTTATAAGTTAAATAATTTAAATTTTTATTACATATAAATTTTAAATTAATATTTTTAATGATTATTTTTTATCGTATTAAACTTTATCTCATCATATCATTATATTTATATCTAAACATATATTTTTATTATTAATTTTAATCTCATCGTTATAATAATAAATTTAACTTTCCCTATTATTTTTAATTTCACTTAAATTAATATCACCGTCGAACCAAATTCAGCCTTAAACAACCTAGATTCACAACAAAGAGGGGGAAATCAGGCTTGAGAGAAAGAAAGCATTTGTAGAATTCTTGGTTTAGTTTGAGAAGACCAAAACTAATTTCCAAAATTCCACAAACACAAATCTATACTCATCACCTTCACCGCCTTCACACAGCAACATAACTTATACTTGGACCTATCAAAGCGGAGACACAATTCAGCAAATTGAATCAAGCATCAAACACAATTCATTAGCAAAAATCACGAAAATAGGATTCAGTAGTATGACCTTGGGCTTTCGAGGGGAGGATTGTTGAGGGATTTCTGCAATTTGATTTGGTGTTGATCAAAGCAAGAGAAAAAGGAATCGTTTTAGTGGTTTTGAGTTACTCAGCCTGCGAACAGCAGTGAGAGCCACCATCGACAACATCAGTGTAGGCGACTCACGGTGGTGACTACGATTTGGAAGGAAATCTAAAATGGTAGAAGTGCAGAGCAAAGGTAGGTGAACAACATACTAAATTTTTAGACGAATTAAAGTGGCGGAAGAGGGCTTTTTCGACATTTGAAGTTGCAGACTAAACTTGCAGAGTCGACGAGGAGTCTTCTGGTGAAATTTGGAGGCCAATAGGCATCAACGAATGGTGGCCGACGGTAGAGAAATGGCGGCCGGCACGGAGGAGAATTATCGATTTTCGGAAAACATGATAATCACAGCGACCATGTCCTTCATTTCTTGAGATTTCTGGGATTTCTTTTTTTAAAGAGAGATTAGAAAGAAGTGGGGAGAAGATAGAGAAAGGAAAACTTGAAAATGATAGAAAAAACCAAAAAAATGGTTACTTTTATACTAACAGCAAAACAATGCCATTTTGGGAAATAAGAAGCCAGGTTCTCAGACTTGCGAAGCAGACCCACGTGCCTCTTCATCTCCAGCCCGACCCATTTCTGTTGAACCAAGCCGAGTTGCTAAGCTGCGGGTTTGAGCCATTCCTGAGTTTTGAGCCGCATCCTATCCAGCCATGTCGTTTGAGCTGTTGACTATTGTTGACCAGCTAATTTTTGTCTATTATTTTTATTATTTATTTATTTTTAAAAAAATTTTAAAAATTAATTTTGAGATAAAATCCTAACAACTTATTGGAATTTTTTGTTATTTGAAATTTAACTTTTAGAAGTTAAATTTTGAAAAAAATCCTATCAATATATTTTAAGATTTCATTGATTTAAAAATCAATTTTTTAAAAAATATTTTTAGAATAGAATCTTATTAACATATTAAAAAGTTTTTTAAAGTTAAATTCTTAAAATCTTAATAACATTAGAGAATTTTTATGGATTTAAAATAAATAATTTTTGAAAATTAATCCTATCAATATATTGAAGGTTTTTATTTGAGAAATAAAAAATCTTACAAAATATTAGAAGAATTTATTGATTTAAAATTTTTTTTTTGGAAATCCTAATAAATTCAATGATATAGTGACAGTAATCTCCTCAAATATTTTTAAAGTGAGAAAATATTTTTAAATTAGTATCAAACTATTAGAGTAATTTAAAAATAATTTTTAATATTAAATTATTTGTTGAGATTTTTAAGATTTTTTAATGTTTTAGATAACACAAAATCAATTTGTACTATTATTTGGATAGCATTAAGGGTACTATAACATTTTTTGCATATAGCTATACTTTTGAATCTTATCTGATTTCGTAGACTAAAATCTATCATTTTTTAAAAACCTAAGTTAGGTTTAGAATCTCTTTTTAAAAGGGAATATGTTCAAATTAGGTGGTCAATCGCACCTAAAAAAAAATCATTTGTAATTTCGCTTATTGTGTCTAACAGTTAAGTTTTCAGACTTGTACATTATGATAGTCTAGTGACTCTACTAAGAATGTCAGGAATTAAACCAATATTTGATTTGTGTTATCCAGGCATTAATAAATTTAATGGTTGTACTTGATTTTTTTCTTCCATTTAGTTTTTAATTTTGTTTTTTATTTTAAATTTGTTAGCATTTAATGATCTTCTTTGCATATACTATTTGCACATGTATACATAAACTCTATATCCAGGATTTATCCCTTTAAAAAGGGGTAAAGAACCCACGATTTCATGAGGTTTCATGCCTCTACATAGATTAGTAAAATATTTTCATTCAAGTTAAACTTTTTTTCTTATAACCTATGATAGGTGAAGATTGGAGTACTTTACTAGTCTATCATAGACGACAATAGGAAACAATTTGGAAAATTTTTAGATTGTGAAATATCCTAACCAAGCAAATAATGAACATAGAGAACTCAACCTTAAAGTAGATCTATGTTGATTTCTTGTGTAGAACATGTTTTTATGTTGATTTTATATTTATTGATATATTTGTTTGTGTTAAGATAATTTTTCTAATTTAAATTTGTTTTTTCAAAAAAGAAATATAATATTTTTACTTAAAAAAAAAAGTGCAATTTTGAGTTGGAATGTTTTATTTCATGATATTGTTTCATATTCATTTCATCATTCCTTACATACATGCATTTAGACATATATATTTTTCATCCATGTAAGCATTTCATGCAAGAATTATCTAATTTCACTTCCCCATAAGTAAAAGATGTAAATGCATAGTTGTTTATCAAGAGCAATTTTCGCTTTCCTTAGTTTTGTATATAGTTTAATTGAAAATGAACTTTTGTTTTATTTGTTTGAAAAATCTTTTTGAGGATTACAATATGTTACCATGAATTAAAAGAGATTTATAAATACTGAAAATTCTTTTATTTCATCTTTTGAGTTTAAGATTGTTTGACAATGAAAATCCATATGATTTTTTTTTATTGAAAAAATTGATTTAAAAAAAAAATAATTGTGATAACAATTTTAAGAGAATCAGTGATTAATCATTTCACTAGTCATTTCATTCTCCAATATAATTGAAAACCACACCATCCCAAAGGTTTGATTCATTAGCCTTATTTTCATTCAACAAAGAAGATAATCTTCATTAAGGCTATGAGCAATGAAAAAACTTGTTAATTTGCAAAATCTTTTGGAAAATTCTTTGAAAGCTAATATATGAGGCACTTTTTAAAAGACATTGAATATTGGTGATTTGATAAGTGTCAAAACTATTCCAAACATATCATTTCCCAAGTTACTTCTAAAAATTCAAACTCTTTAATCTTTTTCTTGATGAAAATTACTAAAAAGACCTTATTTTCTCAAATATCTTTGATCAATATATTGAATTGCACAACATTCTTTTTGTTTCTTTTAGTCATTTCACCAAAGTTGTTTTTTGCCTACATCTTAGGGCAAATTTACCAATAGAGCCAAATTATATGATATTTACAATATCCTTTGTTTCAACATTTTGATTTGTGTGACATTTATTATTAATGAATGAAGATTAAATGAACAATATGAGTAGACTTGAAAATGAAGATTGCTAAGTTCAAATAGTGCATTCTGAGCATGAATTGCAAAAAAAAAAAAAAAAATGAAAAGAAAATAGTTGATTGTAACATTATGTATATGCAACATTAAAATAAATTCAAAATCAAGGAGAAAAGCAATTTATCTCTTAAGAATTGTTTTTCAATGAAATTATCCATATTTAAAATGACAAATGGATATCTTTCATACTCTTTTAGCAAAAAAAAAAAAAATCCATTCACTACTCTTTTTTAGCATGTTGAATTCTTTAATGAACCCTAAATAAATATCATCCTCCACACTGAAGAGGCAAGTATGAATAGAGATCTAGTTGAGAAAACATTAAAACCTAAGTTAAAGACAAGTACAGAATGCCTAATATTAAAGGGCAAGTTTAAAGTAAATTAAGTTCCAAATTTTAAACTAAACTTGTCAAAAGTGGAAACATGTGAGGAAAAGATAAACATATGAAATAGAATTGTTTTCAGTGCTAAATAAGTTACTTTGCTTCTTTTTTTTTGTAAAATAAGCTTTTTTTTATTCCTAATGTGCTTAATTTGTTGTTTTGTAAGAAATCTTGAAGAAAAATTAAATCTTGATGAATCTTGAAGAATTTTGGAGTTTCTTGATCAATCCTAGATGATTTTTGATATATATATATATATATATATATAGAGAGAGAGAGAGAGAGAAAAAGTAATCTTAGATTATTCTTGATATGTTTTGGTTGATTCTTGAAACTTTTGAAGTTGGATTGATGAATTTATGTAAGATTTGCATTACCAAACTTATTGGAGTTAGAATTGATGAATCTTGATGAAAATTTGGAAAATTCATGTAAGAATAGTGTAAGGGATGTTTAGCAATGATTAGGGATACATGTGTAATTTCAAGTTAAATCAAGCTCATGATAGCTTATATAATGCGTAATGTATGAGATTACTAATAGATGACATGGCAGTAAGTTTTTTCTCATTGGCTAAGAGAAATGATTAGGAAGCGTATGTGACATGATGAGTTGAAAATTTTGTCCATATTTAGAAAAGTCTAAATAGTGCTTAGTTTTTTTTATTTCAAAATAGTTTTCCTACTTTGAGTTAGATTTCCCACTTTAATTAGGAAATCCCACTTCAACTTAAAATTCCTACCTTAAATAGGAGGATTACTTGGTTATCCTATTTAAAGTTGGTTTTTC